CATCATATTTACTAACACTAAAATATGACGGGTGCTACATACCCGTCATATTTTGTGTACTCTGTTTATCACCTCACCGATATATATCATTTTTTTGTTTTTTTGTTTTTTACTGTCATATATTTGGCATCATTTTTTTTTTAATTTATGCAGTCATGATAGTTTGAACGATCCCATTTTCACCCCTCGTATCTTACTATTTACACTGGAATCACAAAAATCATTTTACTAATTATTGAAGTAATTGTCATTTACTTTTTCAAAATTAATGTGATAGAAGAAAACATTAAATTAAATTGTTATATAATTATGGGGGAAAAAAGGTGCCCGGTGGCACGACATATTCGACCATGCAGATGTTGTGTTTTTTTTTTTTTTTTTTGTCTGTGTATCTTTCAGCAGGGCAGTACCGTAACTTTCAATTTAAAGGCTTAATTAACAAAATGTCACCTGCAAAAAAAGGAGGAAAACGTTAGATTCATTTGATCGATTTTAAGACTGAAGTTGTCATAAACTTGAAGTATTGACAATCTTAAATTGATTGTGATAGTGAAACGTTTTTTTTAATTAGATATGTATTTATATCAAGTGATGTATATATTGACGGAGTTCTTAGTGCATTATCTAGATGTAAGATTCTTACATTAATGTGAAAAATTTAACCGAGTTCATAAAAAGATTTTCCCCCCTCAAACTTAGTATTATTAACAAAATATAATATAATTTTATTCACTTGCTCTTACTCATGTGTAAATTGAAACTGTAGCTCCCAAGAACATATATAGGCAGAATTGAGATCATATCTTAAAATTTCAAAACATTAATTTTTAAGTTGTTTCATTTATATATCTATTTTTTTCTCTCTCTCTCTCTCTCTCTCTCTCTCTCTCTCTGTGTTTTTTTTGTAAGGGTCAATTACAATAATTAACTCTCTCCCTCCCTCTCTCTCTCTCTGTGTTTTTTTTGGTAAGGGTCAATTACAATAATTAACTCATCCCCTCATATTTAAACTCACTCTCAAAAGAAGAAGTAAACATTCGCACCTCAATAGTTATTCTAGAGTTTGAACTTGCATCCTCATATTTGCGGCCAATTCTATCTTCTTTTTGGATTTTTTTTAAATTATATTTTTTAACTAAACCTTTTCCATAAAAAAGAGAGACACGTACATATTTATGCACACACAACACATCAATGCTAGGTTCAAACTGAGAACTTTTTTCTAATAAGAGAGGTGACATTGTCATGAGGACAACTATTCATTAATAACCAGTTTTATCTAAAAAGTATTTTCTTAATTATTTCTTTTTAAATCGGCAAATTAAGGCTCAAATTTCTGTTGAGAGATAAGCATATATTTAGTGTCTAATCATATATTGAACATGATTGCTTCTAAGATAAAGATATTTATACATAATAAAAAAAAACTCACGCTTGATTTCCTTTATATATAATTGCTAAAAAAAAAACAAATAAAGAACAAACCAACATATGAGCGCAGACCTGTAGGGTTGAAGAAAGCATAGCAAAGTGGGAAGCATCCTTGAAAGATGACTGCCAATTGCACTATTTTACGCTAAAGCCATCTTCTATCATTGGAAAATTTTATGGTCCATAAGATATATCAAAGTCGTTAGATAACTATGTGACTTTATTTTTGTATTGTCCTGCGTGACTGAAGCCACCTTATACTGTCCTGGTTCTTAAGTATATTCCCCACCATTTGCGTCTCTCTTTTGGACTTTTTATTGATGTCTGAAGAAGGTATAAGTTACGTTGCGCTGATCGATCTGGTGAAGGAGAAAAGTAGACGCCACTTTCATTGATTACTGATGTTAGGGATGATGAGAACGTGTGTTGGGTTTCGCACTTAGTCCAGGTTAAGTCTCAGCACAAGCCCACATTAAAAACGAGGCCTTCTTTGAATATCAATAAGATCAGGGTCCTTATGTGTGAAATTCTCTTTTTCATTTTGAAATGTGGGGCGAACGGTTATATGTGAAGGAGTTTTTTTTTTTTTTAATTAGTAAAAATTTATATAAGTTGGGTCTCAAAGATTCATCAATGTTAAGACATATATGCCCTTAGGCTCAAGTTTATAAAAATGATTACATGTCACCTCTCAATAAAGTTTTCATTTTAGCAATGAAGTTTAATTTCAACAACTACATAAATTATAAATTAAATCCTTATTGAAATTTGTTGGTTGCATAGGAGCTAATAAAAAGTAGATAAAATCATAAAAATTTGGAAAAAACAAAAGTAACTCCCATACGAACAAAGGCACGCATTTTTTTTTTTCTCTTCCTCTTCTTCATGGTGTATTTGACATATATGTGTATCAATATATGTAAGGTTTTAAGCTTTTGTACGTAGCCCATGGGCCAATATGTGTAACAATAATCTTGTAACAACTTTGTAACCAAATTACTTTAATTCACTATTACAAAAAATAACTTTTTATAGTGATTAAAAATAATTTTTTTACAGTGATTAAAAATGACTTTTTACAATAGTTAAATAAACAATGTTATTATAGGGAATGTAGAAAGTCAAATTTTCTATATGACTTTCTACATTGGTTATAAGATCGCTGTAAAAAATATATATTTTACATCAGTTAACCATAATTGATGTAGAAAATGGATCAATGATTTAAAAATTAAAAACTGTAGCACTTTCTATAACATTTGGAACCTAACCGCTCTAGATAGTATACTTTCTACATCGATTATGTTTGCAACTGCTATAAAAAGTATACTTTCTACATCAGTTGGGGCCGCAACCGATGTAGAAAGTATACTTTCTACAGCAGTTTGGTTCCAACCGCTGTAAAAAGTTTAATATTTTACACTAGTTATTACATTAATCGATGTAGAGTATTAATTTTTACACTGATTATGGTAATAATCGCAACCGATATAGAAAGTATACTTTTTACAGCAGTTATTACATTAACCGATGTAGAGTATTAATTTCTACACCAATTATGGTAATAATCGTAGTAAAAAGTATTTTTTAAATAAAAGTTTGTATTTTTAAATTTACCCTACTTTGTACACAAAAATTACCACAGTCAAACCAGACAATACAATTTATTTATAATTTTCAATAAAAAATTAAATTAACAACTATCCAAAAACTAAAAGTTATCTATAAACTATCTAAAAACTATTGAGCTATCTAAAACTAATCATGATATCAACAAATATTTTCAAAAGTTATCTACAATTAACAAACTTTTTAAATTGTATGAAACTTTCTACAAAACTCACAAATTCTCCCTAAAATAAGTTACCCAACGTATGCGAATGTCTTCAATTTCAATTTCAAGAAATAGATCCAAATTGTCAAACATCTAAAATATAATTTGTAAAAGAGGCTTATTATGTACTTTCAAATAATATAATAAAATAAAAATTTTAAAAACATATTTACCTCTTTTGTAAATTCAGTTATGCCTAATGTGATAATGTTGAACATATGTCTCATCATATATAAGCCGCACAAGTTCATCTTTACTAGTTGTCTACGGCTTTGTATAAAAACGAATAATAAGAAATCAATAAAAAAAATTTAGTAATTGAACATATTCATAAAGTATAATATCACCTTTGGCTCAATCCATGTAGGATCCTTGAGCTCATGTCTGTGCTTTGCAAGATCACATTTTGATATGTTTTCATTACTCTATGATCAAGATCACCAAATTAGTAACTAAAATATTTAGTATAAATTATATTAAATATTTTTGCACAAATATACTTACGAGTTTATCATCTTCTTCATTTCCTTCCCAAGTTTGTAATGGAGGGAACATAAGAAGACAATAGTGTTGCTCTTCATTGAAAGAACAAACAACTACCAATGATCCCTGCAAAATATAAGTTAAAGTAAATCCACATCAAAAAAACTATTAATTACAAATTGATCCTTACTAGTGCATGTATAATTCATACCGTATAATACTTGCAAATCCTATCATAAATTAAGTGCCTTCTTATTTCAGCAGTACCTAATCTCCTCTCATTCAAGTAATTAACACAAGGACAATAGAACCTTGCACTACTGTCAACAACATTTTTCTTAGCAAATTCTAAAAATTCCCTCACCCCATTATCATATTCATTACTTGTTTGTTTAGCATTCATTCAACTACGATCTATATGTCAACTCTTAAAGAATATAACTAATGTTATTACCTTCAAACTATTTTAAAAATCTAAATTCCTAAATAAATGACCACATGCAAACAACCTGATGAGACTTTCTTAAAAATTAAATTTAAGCAACTTAGGGAAAAGAATGAATTTTAAAAAATTTTGAGAGAGTTTCTCCTAAAAATTGAACCTTCCAAGACTTTTAGAAAACTTTAATAGAGAAAATTGATAATTTTAAACTAAATTAATGATTACATGCTACAACTTAAGACTTTTATAAAGCTACTAACAGCACTCCCAACAACAATCAATATCAATAAAAACTAAATTTAAACAATTTAGGAGAAAAATAAATTTTGAAAAATGTCGACAGAGTCTCCCCTAAAAATTGGACCTCCCAAGACTTTTAAAAAATTTTAATAGAGAAAATTGACAATTTAAAACTAAATTAATGATCACATTCAACAACCTATGGCTTTATGAAGCCACTAACAGTACTCTCAACAACAATCAATATCAATAACAACCAAATTTAAGTAATTTAGGGAAAAGAATGAATTTAAAATTTTTTGACATATCTCCTCTAAAAATTGAATCTCCCAAGACTTTTAAAAATTTTTATAACAATATCAACAACCTAACAACTGATTATATATCATCATATATATACATATCATCCTAATAAATTAAAAAATTAACAAAAAATACAATCAAATAAAAAAGTATCTTTACAAAAATTAAGAGGCATACCTGATCAATCAAGGGTGGTAGTAGCAATAAGAGGAGGAGCAGGCGAGAGGAAGAGGAGGAGGAGGAGGAGGTGATAAAGGCAGGGGGAATATGAAAGGAGTGGCAGCAAAAAGGGGAAGGGGTGGCGCGGAAGAGGGGGAGGGGGAGGGGGAGGGCCGCGAGAAGGAAGGTAGGGGAAGGGCGCGACAGGGGGAAGGGTGGGTCGGGGAGAGGGAAGGGACTGCGGGAAGGGGAGGAGGGGAAGGGATAATTGCTGGAGGGGGTGGGGGAAGGGGAAGGAGGAGGGGCATTGGCCAACTCATAAGAAGGGAAGGGGGTGCGAGAACGGGAGGGGAAGGGGGAAGGGACAGCTTGTCAGAGGGGAGCATCCGGGAAAGGGAAGGGGGAAGGGGGGGCTCAGTTGAGCTCGAAGGAGAGCACTACTGAAGGTATAAAAGAGAAGGAAATGAGGGAGGGAAGGCGCGCGTCGAACAGAAGGTAAATGAAGGAGGAGACACTGCTGGAGCAAAAATGAGTGGGAGAAAATAAATTTAAAGTCTTTTTTACAACAAGTGACTATACACCCGATATAAAAAGTCTTTTCTATAGTGGTTCCCTCTTCACCCACTATTAAAACTATACTACACCTTATCAAAAATTACAAAAATGCCATCGCCTTAGCTTTCTACATCGTCTGCCTTCCAACTGATGTAGAAAGTACATCTTAAATTTTATATTTTGAACTAGTGATTCTATTAGAGGTGATTAGCTTAAATACCCTAATAGTGATCAAGAGATTATGTTAATCAAATGAGCCTTCTCTAATTACTCTATTCTAATTTCTCTCTAATATGATATTCTCGCATGGTATTAGAGCCTGCAATCGTCGATGGGCCTCTGGCGCTACTCTGATCAATCTTTGCAACAATCTTTTTGTTCGTTTCTCCATTTAATATGTCAACTTCCAGCATTCATACTATTCAAGAAGATTCTTCTCCAGAAAACCTTGCTCACTTGTTTTCAAATGAGAAAATTACTGTAAAGCTAAGTGACAACAATTATCTAATATGGAACAATTACTCTATTCTAATTTCTCTCTAATGTGATATTCTCACAATGTGTACAAAAACTAAGTTTGAGTAATTAAGTTCATCTATGTAGACATCTAAACATAAGCAACATATATAGTATGCTCTCTAAACTCACAGCATAAAACATGACCCTATTAATTATCTTGTTGATTTTACATGTGTATAAGAATGTGTCTACTAAACTTTCGATAACTTGTGATGAATTTGTTTTAGGTATACATGTTAGTTATTTAAAGGCCATATGCATATAGAGACAACCAACATTGGGTAGGGGTGAGCATTAATTGGTTCGGTGTCAAAATTAAATGCACAAAACCAATCGACTGAAAACATTTAAAAATTTAGATCGAATCAAACCAAATTTTAACAATTCAATTTGGTTAATTGATTCAGTTTTGATCTTTATATTAGGTTGTCTAGATCTATATTACTATTTTTTTTATCGGGCCCTTTCGGCACTATGAATGATGGCCTGTCTCTCAAATTGATAAAGGCAAATATTATATATATACATATATAATGGGATTACAAACAAATTGCGTAGGAATAAAATTGGAAAATGGCAATAAAATCCCTTTAAAATGTATAAATGATAATTTGGTCCCTTGAAATTCTATAATTCCCTTGAAGTCCTTAGGAACTTTTTTGTCATTAACAAATTTATTTAAATTACTAAATTACCTTTATTAAAAATAAATGATTCATAAATTTTGTTTAAATATTTACAATTTTTTTTTTCTTATATTCCCATTGGAAGACCAACAGTCTTGGGGGGATCCAAAATACGGTGAGTTTTTTATTACCTGCCTATCATGTTTAGTGTAACACTTGCCTCGAGTGTTATCCAAAAATCACACAAGTCAAATAAACTAAGTGTAGTTAAGAAGTTAATCCTAAAATTAACTTAGGAAACAAACCATTTAAATCACTAAGCAAATATACAATGGAAAATTAAACATTTAAAGCCTTTAAAAAAAAATTTTAGGTTCTACCTATAGTGCACGGAAGCAAGTTAGACAAAAGAAGGGTAAAAATATGCTGTCATGACAGCATTAAATTGCTGTCATGACAGCCCTCTCGGGTCAACTTCTGGGAGGCACTGTTCTGCCTTTCGATCTCCGATCGAAGAAATTTTAAAGCTCACAAGTCACATTCAAAGGGTACTATAAGTATACCAATTTCAAAAAGATCCAACGGTCGAATTTAAAATTAGACATGTTAAAAATTTGATTATTTTTGCTGTCATAACAGCTAAAAAGCTATCATGACAGCACTTTCGGACCAACTTCCGGAGTACACCATTTCATCATCTGACTTCCGATCGGAGTGATTTCAAAGCCCACATGTCACTTTAAAGAATACTATTAGCATACTAAATTTTGAAAAGATCCAACGGACGGATTGAATTTTGTGCAGGTTACAAAATCAACACTGTAGCTGTCATGACAGCAATTTAATGCTGTCATGACAGCACCTCCAGACCAAATTCCGGAGTGCGTCGTTTCTCCGTCCGATATCCGATCGACGTAATTCTAAAGCCCACACGAAGCTTATAAAAGGTTTTACTTGTGACCTAAATTTTAGAGAAATCCAACGGTCGGATTAAGATTTGGACACCCAGATGCAAAAGTACAGTTTTTTGGTAAAAACCATTTTTAAAATTGTCCTAATCTCATCCTAATGGTCACAAACCTGTGAGAACACTTTGGACACGTCAAATAAGATTAAAAACACTTGATAGAACATTCAAATGATGGAAAACCTCTATACATCAAAATTTGACCACCCGGGTACCATTTCCCAAAATGGACCCTAGACCCTCAAAATGCACAAATCATACAAGAGTGGTCACAAATCAATCCAAATACCATGTATTTATATAAATACATATGCTAAACATTTTCACTTGGCTCAAAGCTCTTTGTGGGGCCCACACACCCACTCTCTCTATCCAAGCTGTATGTTTGCCCATAGCACACCATTTGCAATGCAACCACTTTGCATTTGCTTATAAAATCACATATATATCAAAATAAAGATCTGCTTGTAACAGAAACTTGGTCTACTAATAAATCCATCAAAACTACACACCATAACCAAGTTTCCTAGCCACAAGTCTGCAAACAGACAAAAATTCATACACAAGAACACAATCCACACATATTCACACACACACACACATAATCATATCCTACTGGCACCCTAATCTTAAATACATTACAATATATTTGCTCAAAAGAAAGGGGTTGCAGTTCTTTACAAATCACAAGCAAACCCCTAGCTTTGCTCCTTTCCCCGTCCACTACTGGATCCTTCGCCTGGACCTAGAATATTGAAAAGAAAGGGGTGAGACAACCACAGTCTCAGTAACAGTGAAATCTACATTAATTATTACAAAGTAAGCCATAATCAAATAAACGAATAATAAATTCAACATAGTATATAATTTAGCCATTTAAAATGCATGAATGCATGACCTAGGCCGGTATGGCCTTTCATGACCAACAGAATGCCCCCTGGCACTCTTTAACTCGCAGGTAAACCTTATATCTACTTGTACCTCCACAGGCACAAAACATAATCTAAGGCATGATCTAATCCACCGAACCTCCTATGCCCTTCGACGTGAATCCTAAGCAGTTAAAGCTAACTCCCTCCCAGAGCCAGCCCAACTTACTTTCCATGTGAGGGCTACCTTGGCCTAGGCACTCAACCTCACACTTCATATGTTGGATTCCCTCCCCCACTGAGAGGTGTCGAACACTCAATACACTAACCACTTTAGTACACTGAGCCCACAATACGTAAGACAACACTGAGTACTGACAGTATGCCATAAAATATCAAAAATCCACTTCTCATTGGTGAACTCCCACCGAGATCATGCCTTTTACTCTTGTCTACCTTTCCTGAGTATTGACCATTCAACACTCTAAAGTAGTATAATATTTATAAATCTCATTTTCATAAAAACATTGTTATTAAACAATTAGAAAACATATTTGCACTATAATCAAAGTAGTACCCACCCCTTATAAAGCACATTTAATCTTTTAAAACATGTAATGCATGATAACTAGTAATATTTATTCAAAAATAGCTAAAAAAAGTAATAAAAAATATAAATTCCCCTGTTACCTCAACCCTTTGGTACCAAAAGGGTTCTTTTTGTACAAAATAGAACTTGGCTTGTTTCTTAACTTCGAACAAATTCCACCAACCATCCTACAACATATAAGTGATCCACATCACTTATCATGTCAAATAGCATTAATGAAGACTATAACTCATATCACACAACTTGGGTCTATGAGCCATAATCCATCCCAATAGTCCATATTTTAAACCAACCATTCACATAATATCACTTAACCACCAAAACCATTTATTAGCCATCATTAGGCTAATTTCCAATTTATATAATTTTTATCAATTAAAAACCTTCACTTAGTGCCACCAACTTTTACCATTAGCCCTTATAATGAAAACCAAACCTTAATTTAAATCTTATTGGGCTCAAATAGCAAAATTATAACTAAATCAATAAGCTTAAACCATTGAAGAGCAAAAACCCAATTTCTCAAGGATTTATTTTGTACCCAAAACACCTCTTTTCATCCAATTATCCACTCAAAATATTTAGATCACTATATAAAAACTCAAAACATACTCCCTAGGATTCAAAGAAACAAAAGCTTACAAGAATAAAGCCTTTGGGATCAAAATCCAAAAATCTCCTCTTCCAAAAATTGAAGAAAATCAAGAGAAAGAGAAAGAGAAGAGGATTGAAGTAGGGAGTTTACCTATCGTGTAGCCGAGCTCGCAACAATCGCAAAGACTCCTAGATCCGAGCCTAACTCCCTCTCTTTCTCCTTTCTTCTTCTCTCTCTCTCTCTCTCTCTTTGCGTTTTGTTCTTTCCTTTTTTTTTCTGCGTTTCTGCATCTCTTTTCCCTTATAAAAGCTGATCCAAAAGTTTGGAAAAATTACAAGAAATGACCCAACATTTTTTATTATTGCACAAAAGCCGGGTCAACTTTGGTAATTTTTTCCATAGATAAAAAATCAAATAAAACTAAACTTTTGCTTAGAAAAATTTAATTCTGGACCTCTATCAAATTATTCTAAATTTTAATTTAATTATAGATATTTTATTTTATTTTATTTTTATAAATCTGAGTCTTAAAATTTCGAGATGTTACATTTAGGCTCCACCTAAATATGATCAATATTGAAAAAACCTGTCATATTTGGTCCCTTTTTTTTAAGAGAATTATTTTAAGGTGATATTTAACATAATTAATTACTCTCAAGTCTATTAATAATAAACTTAACTAAGCTTAGGATCTCCTAAGCTC